AAAAACACCCCAGATGAACAAAACACCCCAAATAGCTCCAAATCCCCCCCAAAACCAGACCCCTCATTCAAGCCAAACGACGCAAAACCGACATCCCAAGGAGCATCTCCCACCCCAACGCAAAAAGTAGTTTCTAAAAGGCTCATTTTACCCCAAAATTGCCTTTTCTCAGGAGTTTTGAGCACCAGGCCCTGCCGGTTTTACCCACACCCCCATCCCCAATCAAGGAGGGCTCACTAATGAGCACTAATGAAGCAGCCCCTCCGTACCAGCCCAAACCGCTGCACCAAAAAACACCATTTTCAGGCTCCAGGTCCCTTTCAGCCACATCAGACTGTGAAAATTCAGCTTTTTAGGGTTTTTTATAAAAAAAAAAAAAATCAGGATTAATTATGGTTGAGGTGAATATGCAAATTAGCTGCTAAGGGCTTTTTGTGGAATAACAAGGGCTTCATCTCCAGGGAAGCCTCAGGTTGGGAGTAACCACACCGACCCGATTTCCTCCACCTATTTACTATTTTAAGTGATTTTAGGACAAAAAAAATGAGATTAAGGATTAAAAAAAGCCTCACAGTTTAATAAACTCAGATTTAACTCATTCATAGGAGTTACATTTCAGGACTAGTCCAGACATTCCCTCCTCCAGCCTCAAACCAGGGAAATAAAACAGTCTGCTTTCCCAACAAGGAAAAAAAATATGAAGTTTTCTTTTTCACTTAATTCTTTTTTCTTAAATTAGTGTTTTCTAGTAAGATTTTGTGTGCTGGATTTTGACTCCTGCTCCCAAAACCCCACGTCAAACCCTGCTGTCAAAACAAATTAAAGCAGTATCTCAACATGCTGCTCACCCCCCAATTTCCTCCCTCCCCTTTATTTATCAGTTTGTGTTGTTTTTTTCCTAATATTTCAGAATTTTTTGCATTATTGAAGTGCTAAAGAGATATTTTTAAATTGCTGGTCTTTGAGGGATTTAAAGGATATTTTTACACCAGCTACAGTGCTCAGATGCTAACAAGGATGGAAGTAACAATAAATAAAGCAATTTAGCATTAGAATAGCTCTTGTCTCATTAAAAGGGGGAATAAAGACAAGATATTTACCACCCAAAAAATCTAAATCTTCACTAAAAAGACAAACCCCACCTTTTTTGGCAGGTTTTATTACCCCTCCCCGGCAGCCAACCTCAAACTGACCATTGTGACAGGGAGAAAGTCTCAACAACCACCCCAAAGTTGTTGAGAAAGTAGTAAAAATGCTTTTTTATTTCTAATTTTGGGGGGATTCCTATCACCAGCCAGCAAGACAGAGCTTGCCATCTCCTCAGGACGTGAAGACATGGGGGTAGTTTCCTCACAAACCACCAAAAGTGATAAGAAAAGGACCATTTTTTAACTCCCATATTAGGACATCTTCCTGTTCAAAAGTTTGTTTGTGCTCAAGGGCATCAAAATATGGTTTTGGTGAGGAAAGAGGAGTGTCATTCTCCTTTCCCTCCCCTCTCAGAGAATTTCTTAAATTTTTTTTTAGATAATTTAAAGGGCTACACTTGCCTCCTCTCATCCCAAGGCAAGATTTAAAAAACGTAATAAATGGGGACAGCAGAGCCCTCAGAGCTCGAAATCCCCCCCTCCACCTTCCCCTTTTCCCTCACAACGAACAAGAGGCACCATGCCCCACTCTCCCCCTCGCATAACAAGGCAAAAGGCAAAATTAAAAAGATTTATAGGGTTAATTTCACCTCACGCAACCGGGGCTCGGTCTCCCCTCAGCAAACAAGGTGGAAGGGAGTAATTTTACCTCATGGCAGCCAATTTTTTCCCTCACAAACGGAGGGGGGGGGGGGGGAAGCAGAGAAATCCCCTCAGGGAGCGACGGCGGCACCGAGCAACGTTTCCCGCCTTTTTCCTCTCACCTGAGCGGCGCGCGCGGGGAGGGGCTGCGCGGGCATCGCGGAGGAGGAGCCAAAGTAAACCCCGCCCCTCTGGCGGGCCTCGTCTCTTATAGGCCGCGCGCCCCGCGGCGTCGGCCAATCAGAAGGCAGAGAAAGCAAAGAGGTCACCTCCCCCCTCTCCGCCCCACCCTCTCGCGCGCGCCGCTGCCTGTCAAAGGCGGGGAGGCGGGACTTCGGGCAACGTTAGCCAATCAGAGGAGCGGAGTAGGGGAGGAGGCGTCGCTGATAGGCTGGGCTCTGTGAGGGAGAGGGCAAGTGTGAAGGGTGGGGTGCGGGCGCGGTGTGCGTTAACCCCCCGCCGAGGGGCCGGGTGAGGCGTTTGGGTGGTTTCTGAGGCAAAAAAGAGCAGGAAAAGGGCTGTGAAGTACCTAGAGGGGACACAGACCCATCGAGTGTGATGTGAGGTATGAAAAAAAGGCCAAAAAAAGGCAAATCTGGCCCAATTTGGGTCTCCCCAAGTGGCTGAGGGGGGCTAGGGGCCTGCCGCCAGCCCGCGAAGGGGGGAACGGGGGTTTATTCCCGCCGCGCCGTGAGGAGAGCAGGGAGACCTGAGGCCGAGCGCAACTCATCGCGCCTCGCCACCCTTCCCCCCTAGCAACAGCCGCTGATGAAGCGGCGCCGCGCGGGGGATTTTTCTGATTGGCCGAGCGCCGCGCGGGCCGGCCAATGAGAGCGAGACACGGGACCCTTGGCGTTCCCGCCCACCCAAGCGCCGGCTGCGGGGCGGCTCGGACCGTACCAAGTACGGGCTTGTGGGGGGGGGGAAGCCCAGCGGGTTTGGGGGAGGTTCGTAGCCCCCCCCGCAGAGCGTGGAAGGGGGGGGCAGACGGGGAAGGGAGACCCTCAGCATGTCCCTCAGGATGAGCCATTATGGGGGAGCGGGGGAGTAGCGGGGAAGTGACCCCACACAGGTTCCCCCCGCCCCCTTTCCCGGGTAGCGGGTGGTGCAGTCCGGGCGGAAGTGAGGTGTCGCGCGCTGAGGCGCTTCCGGTGGAGGAGCGGCCTGAGGCGGGGGGGGAAGCGGTGGCGGCGGGGCTCGATCCGAGTGAGTGCGGGGCGGGGGAAACGACGACGACCCCGGGGCTTGAGGGGAGGGGGCAGCGTCG